TGCACTGTAAGTCAGTGGATAGATATTTTAGGCAACGCGACGAACGCTGCCAGCATTACACGACCGGACGTATCTCGTTGTGGTAACAACGGTCCCTCCCAGGCAGAAGTGGCAAATATTTACCCTTAGAAGCAAGCCCATCATTCTGTTAAGCAAGTCCTTCGCAAATTGAGCCGTGTCATCGTCGCATCGCCGGCGCGACGCATGATACGAGCAAACCAAAAACTCCTTGACGCCACTGCAACAGACGTATCCCACTTTTAGTCCTGTCGATTATCCACGGCTCCGTGTGCCAAATTTTACCCAGTGCTATCGCGTCTAGCTTGTGTACGTTGTCACTGAAACGTTTATTCGACAGAAGCTGAAGGATCCTTCGAAAGCTTCCTCGAGAAAACGCGAATATATCCCGACCATATTTTTCCTCTGGGAATACCTGTCACGTATTTCCCCAAAGTATTAACCATTTACCTCGATAGCACGATTTTTATAGCTTACGGAATATTTTAACATCGAATCGACTGATACCTGAGTACCTAAATCTGTCCTGCATAAACGATAATAATAATAATGGTACGACGAAAATAAACAAGTATATATAATCTCGTTTTCTGGATCAAAGTTCAATAGACGATACTCTGTTCCCTGTACACAAAATATTTGAATTATTATTTATATATTTCAATTTATTTCAGTATAACTGACGTCTGTCGACTCACTGTCGTCTGTTTTGACTCGGATTTACTATAAGGCTAAAATAACAAGTATTTCAGAGAAGCTAGGGAATCACGAACGCAAAGGACGAGAGCGTGTAAAAACTCAAAGCCAGGAAGGAGATCATAAGAGGTTAAAAGCAGACGAAAGGTATCGCGACCCCGCAGTTTAATATCCAGCAGGAAGAAAACCTTGAAACGCTTTTCAATTCGTGACACAGGAATCTCGAGCTGTCTACAGGCTATCAAGACACGGACGGTTAGGGCAATTTTATGGAGCACGCACTCGGCAAATTACATCCTCGCCGTTCTAAGCGGCATAATTCAGAGATAAGATACACGCGAGCGTTCCGGGTATTAAAGCTCGAAAGACGGAGCGTGAATCGAGAGACCCTCTCGACGGCGGGCTTCTCCTTTGCCACGCGTCTTCTTCGCCAGGCCAATCTTGTTTTTCTTCCAATTTTCCGGCGCAACGGCTGAAAACGCAGCACGAAGTGCAGCCTGCGAAACGATATTACGTCCCGCGACGAATGCAACGCGACTGAAATCGCGTCGCGATTCTTCGCGCTCAGGCGAGCCCGTGCACGCGTTTGGCCCGTTTCCAAAGCACAGAATCGACTTCGCGAAAATTCTTCTTGCGGGTCTTTGCGATAGCTAATGGGATTTCGTTTGACAACGATGCAGGATTTAGATACGCTGAACGGAAGGATAAAGTGAGGAGGACGATGTGTAAATATTGGTGGATTGGTGTGAATCAAACGTGAAATGGGATTCTCGAAACTTAACATTAGAACTACCGATCTTTAATGGGTACCTAACTATTGTGGATTTGGTTTTATTAGTGTGAATGCAAGTATGCGAGGTCGAGTAATGGCACAAATGTAGATATGTATGTCTTTGGAAGTGCAAATGGAAGATCTAGAATGCATGGTGTTGTGCAGTTGCTATGGATCAGAGTCCATTTGTTATGAGGAATTTCAGTTTGGTATAAGAAGCGTGAGAGTGAACAATTATTATACAAGACGTGTGTAATTTATAATTTTATAATAAATATACGATTGTTATACAACAAACACACAACTAGAACGTGCATAGATTATAGTAATTTCAACGGTACGATGAATATGAGTGAATATATTGTAGAGATAGGGTGAAACACGAATAATGTAAAACTATTTATTAATCATAAAATATACAATGCAATATGCGGTGACGATAAAGACTACGAATATAATCTATCTATTAACTAAACTCTTATAACTACAACGACACAATTACCTAACAACACGTTTACACTTAGCAACACGAATACAACTAACACCTTTTTTCACAACTCTCTCTCTGAACTCTCATATACTACACGTACTACGACCGACTCCACACTCTCTCTGCCCACTCACGCCCTTGCATCCCTATTTAAAACCATCCATTCTATCCTCTTTCATACCTATTCTCTCTTTCCAATCATACTTTCCCACCCACTCCTCGCAATCTTACCCTCAGCGGGTCACTTAGCCCAAACACTCAAACGCATTCCTAAAGCCACTCTTCACTTTCATCCGATACATTTATAAACATCCCGTCCACACGATACTAGCGCACGATCATTCATCCTTTCGCACGCACTCTAGATAACACGCTCATCCTGCGATACCACAATATTGATTACAGTTCATTCTTAACATGAGTTGAAACAAATTTTGTTCTCAAAGCAGGTGTGTGTTCGGTGATTGTAAAAAGGAAAATTCTGGGACCAGTCATTTTGACTCGGTTGGTAGTTCTAGTGTTAACGAGGAACCTAGCATGGTCACATGACTGGTGAATGAAAGGAAGGTAGAATCTTTAAAAAATGGAATGGAAAATGAGAGATGGCAGTGACCAAGTTCTCACCCTCGCTAACAGATGGATTCCTACTTGAAGGAGGTTCGAGGACTTTCTAGCAAGTCCTCGGTAAAGCCTCGACCTTCCTTAACCCTTTCGGTACTACTGCCGCCTAATGGCGGCGGCCATGAAACGTTCTCTGGGTACTACAGTCGTCTATTGACGGGATCCATGAAACGTCATCGATGATTGTCGTGGTTCGAATGAAAAGTTTAGTGTCAATCACGCTCGAGATTTCTATGAATACCGCAAAACACGTTTTCGTGGCTTCCAGTGCAACCACTCTTGTGGAAAGCTTCCTCGTACCACGAATGTATAACCGCGGCCAGCTCCTACGTACCGAAAGGGTTAAATAGAAGTTCCTGTGACACCTAAGTATCCCTGGTCTAAGGCAGGGCCTGCTGGAAGCAAGCCTTACCGATGAGTCCACTAGCAGACGAAACGCATCCCTTCCTTTTCCCATCGTCTTTCTACCTGCTACCTCATCGATAGCAACGACCACCACGAGGATACCAACAGGCTATCATAGGCACACTGCCCATCATCAAGCAGGAAAAAGAAGACACCCTGCACTTCACCAATCTCTCCCTTGGAGATAGAATATTGGAAGTGAGGTATCTACCAAGACCTAGATACATCTATTCTTACAGAGATATTGAATATATTGTAGCGACCATCATTCTCACTCTCGCACTAGAGGGATTCCAAATTTGAGGACTTTCTCGCAAGTCCTCGGAAAATCACCAATTCCTATATAAATAACTTCCTGACCTTCTAATAGTATCTCAGTCTAGGATAGCCTTACTCATGAGTCCACTAGCAGACCCGGGACGAAACGCATCCCTTCCTTTTGTAAGAGTTAGTAAGATTATGCGAGCTCCGGTTACCGATAAGGCAGCGTGAGTGAGGAGCACGTAGCAATGATAACCGGGGTCCCAAATCGAAGAAATGATCCTCTTGATCCTCGATGAATTAACAAAGAAGGGAGCCCACCTTCGGGTTTGCTTCCCGAGAAATTAAAAATTAGGATGATTCAAATTATACATTCCTGGACTATGTTGCAGATATTTGGCGATTATAGCGATTTAAATATTATTAGATGAAAAGGTTGTTGTTATATAGAAGAAAGATATATTTACATATGACTATATCATATTACTATGAGGATATCATAGTTTACGGTTGAGTTTAATCAATGTTGAATCACTGTATGTGAGATATATGGCTGACGCGAGAAGTACCGACGATTAACGTATATTTCTACTAGAGCAGTCGAGATAACAAGGATGAAATACATTATGCAAGGGAAATTACGGGAAATCTGAGAAAATTCGTCGTTAAAAATTCAAGCGACTTTTGCGAGAATTTACATACATTAACCATTTACTCCCTTTGATATAATACTTCTCATATTCTTGTGAACCTGTATTAAATCAATATACGTGTCAAACTTGCGAGAATAATTCCTTTTTTAAACCCAGTTAGTTCCATAATCCCCGAAAATACAACGTAAATTACGAAATTATAGGTTGTAAATGCGACGAAATAAAACTGGGCCCCATTTCCGATTACGTGCAAACTTTCATACGCAATGCCATAACACGTCAAAAAGTATCTCGTGCGAGGATATCATCGATAAAAAAGATATATAGTAACGTGTCTAGATTTTAATTAAACTGATTTGTACGATTTCACCTATGGATTCGCTGGTATATATTTTTTCTTCCCATTTTCCATGGAAATGTTCAAACTTTTGCCCATCGGGCTGAAAAATAACCATGAAACGGCGCAAAATCTCACGTTTCGATCAGGGAACATTAATTATCGAAATAATATCCTAATTTGTATCTCCGCACATATTATACGAGATACGAGGAAAAATTGTAAAAAAAGAGACAGGAAATATGGGAAATTAATTAATTTTTATGCATATAGGATTATGCACGTAGGATTGGAATGAGTACGGCCCTGAAAGAATGTCAAGAGCGTTTGGGCTTAGAACGAAAGTGACCGTGTGCAAGAGGATTGACTGCAAAGAATATTTATGGTAGAGTCGAGTGAAAGTTTAGGGATGCTCCAGAGTGGTTGAAGTACCTGGCCCACCGAGGTTGCGTGGGAAAGGGGTATGATTGGGAAGGAAAGCCTGGGTATGAAGAAGGACAGAATGAATGGTTTAAATAAGGGTGCAAGGATGCGGGCAAGTCAGTCTTTAAGAGTTTTTAAGCCAGTCTTTTCGCAGTCTTGAGGAATGTGCTAGTGTGTCAATCAGAGAGTATGTAAGAAGTCCAAGTCAGTCTAAGAAAGATCAGAAGAGCAAGCCCATAGCGAATCTCTCTTGTTTCATAGCCGTCATTCTATTTATAAGCTTATTTTATTCTATTAAAAAGCCAACGATACTATCTTAAGTCAATCCACACAAAATCAGATCCTACATACATATATTTAATTTCGAAATATTTAAAGATTTGCATTTCCCTAATTTTTCATTAAATTAAATAAAATACACAGGACTGTGCTTTGTGTACGAAAATAAAGCAAAATCGTATGGAATAGTGTGTCAAGTCCAACTAGACCTAGGACCTAAAAGGGTTAATAAAATTCACGATGGTTTAGATTTCATCCACCATATGGGGATAGAATATCGCGT